CCGGTTTTCCACGATCAAAACTCTTAAAATAGACCAATAAAGAGTTTAGAATGACACTGGACACTCAAAAGCTCCCGAGGACCTATGTCTCCAACACAGCCGATCTATGCAAAAAAACTCTGTAAAACAAAGCATCAGAATTCATAAGAGAGAAGTTTGAAGACAAAGAGATGCACGTAGAGAGCAGGGGAGTTTCACACCATCAATATGCCAAAATCACTGGACACATCAAAAGCTCCCGAGGACCTCGGGCTGGACCGGGATCATCCGAGTTTGCTAAATTACAAAAGAAATAGTTAGAGTGCTCAGAAAATTCTGAAATTTTTACTGGAAGTAGTTTATATCACCCTTATGAAGCACGCAAAAAATCAGATTAAAATTCCATGTAGTTTTTTTTCTAGACCCCCAGTGACTGCTCAGACATTTCAATGTATACTGGTGGAAATCCCAAAAATGGCATAAGGTATATATAGGGGGGTGCGACTCTTTGGGGTTGGAATGGGCGTGGGATGGGTCGTACAGCGGGATGGGATGGGATGGGCTGCGATCGAGGGGATGGTGGTGCATGGTCGACGGTGTCCGAGTACCGGCTCGGCCGCCGGTCCGTCGCCGGGAAAATTTTCCGGCCAGTTTTCCGGCGACCCGATTTTTTTTTTCTCGGAGGGAATCGTCCGTGGCTCGATTGTTTTCGCGCTTGTGCGGCTTTGGCTCGGTTGTCCGTCTCTAACAGTTCTTTCCCTTCGGGAAACTGAATAGTTCTACGATTGACATTATCGGGTTTACTGACGTTCGGCGTATGAGTGGCGTTCGGATAGCTAGTGTTTGTAGGCTCCATGCTCGCGCATCCAACTACATACCTACTATCCGCCTCGGTTTCTTTCACGGGCATTTATTTCCTCGATGGACGGATCCGGGGCCGGTGTTGCGTACCTAACAGAAGGGAATTGTTGAGTTTGGCTTCCTCCGTTGTTCGCGGTTTCTGCTTGGCTGGGATGTCGCGAACACACAAGCCGGCACTTGTGATCCTCGCACCTTGGCATCGAACGATGCCTTGATCGCATAGGTGAATGAGCTGTCGGCTGAACTCTCGGATGCGGAACGGTTATTGACGGTGAGTGAAGCAATTCGGTCCCGCCATAGCTCGTTTGTCCCACGGACAGAAGATGACGGTCAAGTCCTTGTTCCTTCTTGCCTGCGTCGGGTTTTGCGTGAATGTCGGAGTTGTTGCTTTCGCCGGGTTCACTATGATCGCCAGAGTTGTTGCTTGCGCCGGGTTCGCATGAACGTCAGACCCTTTTATGCTTGGTTTTGCATGAACGTCAGAGCTCCGCTCCTTGGTTGGCATGAACGTCAGAACTCCGCTCCTTGGCTTTAGCCTAGCGCCGGCGGTAGTGCGTGCGTTCTTGTTTGCCTAGCGCCGGGGGAGCGCGTGCGTTCTTGTTTTGCCTTGCAGCGAAGCGGATGAAGGCGTTCTTGTTAGCCTATAGCGTCGGCAAAAATGCGCGCGCTCTTGTGTGCTAGCGTCGGCGAAAATGCGCGCTTTCATGCTTAGCCCATCGTCCGCGAGATGGTTCGGGGAGTTGCCGTT